CATCTGCCCCCTTCTGAAAGTCCCCCATCAGCACCACGTCCTTGGGTCATACCTGCCCCTGCCCCTGCCCCCGGGCCAGGGCAAATGTGAAACCAATTACTCGCTTCCCTGCTGGGCACAGCTGCCCCCTCACCCAACTCCCTGCGGCCCTGGCTGATCCGGCTCCACACTGCTCTGCCGGCCAGGGGCGAGCACCCCGTCCCCTCGGGCCGGCCCTCTCCCAAGGCGCCCCCTTCACTCCACCGGGAGGTGGTGCCGTGTTTGAGGGGCAGCGAAGGCCATTCTGCCACACTGTCAGCATCCCTGCTCCCGTCGCCCTATTCTGGGGAGGAGCGGCCTCCCCCAAGTGGATCGCAGGGTGCAGGGTGGCTCTGTGCAGTTGATGTTCTCTAGCTGGCCCTGTGGTCACCTCAAGGGAGGATGGGGGACTTGAGCACGGCTGAGCACCCGTTGCCTAGGTCAGCCAGCTCAGGCTGGGCCTGGGGCCTCTGGCTGGGTTTGGAAGCTCCCAGTTGGTTGCCCAGGCTCAACGAGGGTCAATGACTGGGTGGTTCAGGAGTTATCAGTGCGTCCCTGTTCTGGGCTTTTCCCCCTCCCACGACTATTGATTAATTCCTGAAATGCTTTAAAAACTCCATCCATTGATTGGAAAGCTCCTGCCTCGTTAATGGGTCGCGTGGGTGAGCTGGAAACCATCACCCATCCTAAACACTCAGTAACAATCGCTCTCTCACCTTCTGTGATGGGTCTCAAAGCGCTTTCCCACACTGTTCAACTGTGTGCCATATGCACTATACTGCCAACAGACAGTGGAGATTCTCCTCTACACCAAGTGGCAGGAGCCAATGCTTTCGGGACAGGATAATCTGAAGTGCTCTGTGCAGGATGGCAGCAGGTCCTGGGAGGTCACGGATACTATCCCCATTTTACCAAAGGAGAAACTGAGGCACAAAGTGATTTTATGTGACTCAACCAAGCTCACACAGCAAGTCAGGGATCGAACCCAGGTGTCCGGCTGCCTCCCCAGATCAATCCATGCAAATTGTTTAACCTGACGGGACCCAAGCTCAGGGTTCCACAGTTGGTGACCTCGTTGAAGTCCGGTACTTGGGAGACAGCCCAGCCGGCCTCAGGCTCAGGCAGGTGAGTGGTGACTTGCAGTGGGTTCCTGTAGGTCAGGCCTGCACAGCTCATAAAGCGGCGAGGGCCATATTACTCCAAAGAAAATCGCTGAGGGCCGAACCCCCCCGGCCGTGCTGAAACAGGCCCCCCCAGCGCCACTCAGCCCCGCCGAACCCCGTCCCCCCCCCCCCAGCGCCACTCAGCCCCGCCGAACCCCGTCCCCCCC